GCAAGGAAAGTAGCAGATAGTTGTCCACAGAGATTCGGTTGACACGTGGGCATGAATTGAAAATAGATTAAATCAGTTTTGCTGATAAATGGATGGATTTTCTCTTTTTTTGGAAGACAGTGCTAAAGTTAGTGTCACCTATTTTGTATGCTTTCTCAGGCTTTTGATATTGCAGCATCTATGGAGTGAATTTAACAGCAAGGTCAATCCCAGACAGATTCATCAATTCCCATAAGTCAAGCTTTTTTTTCTGCTGGTAAGTGCTGGGAAGTATAGAGTATGTTGCAAATACTTCCTTCAAGTATGCATTAGACTTTAGAGTCACCAATTATTAATGATAATGTTCACACACATCAGCTTGCAAGATAACTTTACTCATAGAATGTAGTTAATATAATCATGTAAACTTTTTATAGGTGTGTAATCATGACCTTATTGACTGAGGTGCTTGCTGTTACTGTTAAAATTTGTGCCATAGGTGCTTGAAATGATTGTATTCATTGAAAAGAAGGGAGTCATGATTGCCATGTTAATATTCATGCAATTTGAATTGTTCTCAAAATAGTGTAATCAATCATGCTTATTATAGCAATAGACTAAGACAATAACTAGATTGCTATTTTTGACGGGCCGGGCCGGGCTGGGCTTGGAATATTTGCCAAGAGCGGGCTACGGGCTGGGCCGGGCTCTGAACCCATGGGCCCGGGCCGGGCTGGGCTGGGGATTTTGGGGCCCGTGGCGAACACTGCTTTACATAGCCGCGAGTAGCATTTTTTTCGGTAAAACAATGAAGGATCTGTAAGCTTTTTTGTCAGCGTGCGACGGTTATATAGGCCGTACCACTAGTCGTTTTTGTTTTAACCCGCGCCCCACTGGGGGGGGGGCTATTTATAGCCCCCCCTCCCGTTTTTCTGCAATAACTTCCAAACCGCTTGACGTATCGACGCCAAACTTTCAGTACCTTCGGCTGCATCAATTTGACACCTTGTGTCAAAATTTGAACTTCGTAGCTACCTTAGGTCGGCCGGAAATGACGTCAGAGTGACGTCATGTTCGTCCGATTTCGACGCAAAACATTGAACCACGGCAATCGCTCCCAAGAGCTCAGTTTTTAAGCTAGATCCAATTTCTTTGCATGAAAGGACTCAGAATTGACCGCGCTATCAAACTACTATCTCGGATTTTCAAAATTTTGAAAATTTCGAAAATTTTATATAATAATATTCAAAATTTATATTTTTATATTTTTTTCAAAAAGTTTTTGACTTTTCGAAAAAAACCGGAATATATGTGACAGAACGCATGATTATGACTAACTCTAGCAAGTTTTAGCTAAATATCTTCAAAAATGGCCAAGTTATACGCATTATTGCCAAAAATTCACAATTATTAATTTTTCAAATCACTTTTTCAGTACGTATTTGACATCGTACACCAATATAAATGGCACCATCGTGTTCCTGAGCTCAAACTGCGTCGAATAGACACCTTTTTTGTTGAAAAATTTTAACTTCAAAATATGACCTTTTTTGACCTGAAAGTGACCTGACCTAAGCTAAATTCGACTCAAAATGACCTCGAATGACACAGACGACATCAAATTCGAAATCTATGGCCTAAATGGACCATAAAACATGTGTCACGTGACCGATGCATGATATAATATTTTCGTGACCTGTGATGACCTGACCCTGACCTGAAAATCAAAGTACAAGTTTGGTACCCTCAAGGTATCTAGAGCATCTGTTCACGAGTGTGGAAACCAAAAATGAGCCTGATCTGACTTGTAAGACGGCGGCCAGAGCCCAAAATGTGAACAAGCCAAAGTGCTAACAGTTTTTACTTTGACCTGACCTGTGACGTCATCGGTGACCTCGAGGTCAATGAAATTAGGTTTCGCTCGACAGTTTTTCCGGGGCTATCAGACGCCGTTTGAATTTTGACGATCGGCCCAGTAGTTTCGGAGTTAGGAGGGGGGCTATGAATAGCCCCCCCCCAGTAGGGCGTGTTATACACAGACCCCAGTGGGGCGCGGGTTAACATCACGGACGGCACGTATGCCACCCTCATCTTACACATTTGATTTTATTTGGCCCAATGGCTCTGGAATTTCTCAAACTCCCTGACCGGTCAGTGAGTTTGCAAACTTCCTAGTGAATTTGCAAACTCCCTAGTGAGTTTGCAAAGTCACTGATGGGTCAGGGAGTTTGCAAACTCACTAGGGAGTTTGCAAACTCACGGATTTCTCAAACTCCCTGTAGGGGAAGTTGGGGCAATGCCGGAGTTGGGGCAAAGCCGAAATTCGAGATATTTCTAAAACCGTACGACATGGATGCCACGTCTCGGTGATGCTCTGAAGCTTAAGTGACTACAATTATCGCATGTTTGTTACGAGTCGTCATTCGGAATACTTCGGCTGTGAGGGCGCCAAGAGCGTTTTCAAGGTACGCGTTCCTTGTACTACATGCGCCTTTGAAGCTGCATTTCTTACTCATTATGCTACCGTTTGTCTGGCCAATTCGGTCAAGTAATCTTCAGCATGTCTTTGCATAAGTGTGCTGCCTATTTGAAATTTATACGGTACATTGAAAAGTTATGGGCATGCAAATGCAAGTATGGCTGGCTGGGGTAATGCCGAAAACGTGCAATTACGCACGTTAAAGCACGCTACGTGGACTTTACTGCTGTAGAATAGCAACGCGAATTTTTAGTCACACAAATTACACTTTCAACCGACACAACGGCCTGTTACCTATAAGGAATTATTTACCTGGCATTTTCTTATTATATCACACAATTATAACTTCCAGTGTGCACCAAGCGTCCTCAAGCTCTTAAAACGCGTGTCAGCTTTGATAAATTCTGGATAAAGTTTGAGATAAAGTGGCAAAACATCAATGGCGGCATTCCCCGTAGATCATTTCTCCCATTTTCGGCTTTTCTCGCAGTCCGGGGCAACGCCGAAAAAGTCACTTCTTTGATATTTTTAGTTTGTGCGCTTAACGGTATGCGAATTCATCAAATGCGCCTGGTATGTTTGAAAGGCAAAAGACTGGCCTCTCGAATGACGCCAACAAGAATAGCTTATGTTGTCTACCTTGCGTGCTACGGGCGTCAGAAAAAAAGTATTCGGCGTTCCCCCAACTTCCCCTAACATATTCACTATACATCTGTACATGCATACAAATGGCCTGCATGCGAAGGTATAAGGACGGGCTATACTGGCTGTCCAGGAGACTCCAATGTCACACATAAAATAATCGCCAGCGGCAATCCATGTCACACGGCCGGGCTGTACGAGTAACGTCGGCTCAGCGCTCTCCGGCGGCACATACGTCTCTACAGGCACGTCTGTGTCCCGTGTACGGTATAACTGCGGACCGGAGTCGGCGCGACGGACCGCTGAGCTGAGCTGATGGCCGCGGCCGCTGAGCTGGCCTCTGAGCTGAGCTGATGGCCGGTGTCGAGGGCAGCCTTATCTCGACGGCATATATCCAACCTAGCCCCGTATACAACGCACGGCATCAACTGCCCATGCAGACAGGGGAGAGGGGAGCGTGTTCGCGACGGGAGGTACTTACATATGTAGGTACACTGGTGCCTCCGCGCAGTGTAGGTCATTTCAACATGCAACGAAACCACAGGCTTTAGCCTGTCTTTTTAGTCGTGTCTTACAGTCGTATCCTACGAAATATGAAGCCTTTCTTCGCTCTTAGTTCGATTGTTTGAAAGGACGGTTTGACAGAGCCGGAGCCAACGATGAGCGAAGCTTTGTCACGCAGACCCCGACCGCTACCATCCGACCGCGCAATTCCGGGTAACAGGAGAATTTAGATGCCAAAGATTAGCTACCCATCAAAGCCCGGCATGGTCTGTCCCACTCAACTGACTTCAACTGGTTGATGCTGCTCCCACCAATCGCAGACCATCACCGTCAGTGGCCGTATTGACAATCACGGGTTAAGAGTAAGGGAGTAAAGAGTAATAACGGGATATTTTCTGGGGCTCGTTTACTCTCAACTTGAGTCCGTATCCGCAAAGAAATGCAGTGAAATTGAGCATTCTGCTTGTTGCATTTGAAATGGTCAGCTAGGTAGTATAAGGCTATAATATCCGGCGGCGGCGACGGCTCTGTGTTAACACGACTCGACAGTCGACACGACACGTTAACACGATGCGTTAACTAACACGACTCGGCTCGACACACAGTCGGACGGTGCCGCTCGACAGCCGGTGCTGGCCGGCGCCGGGCCCGCTGCGGTCACATCGTGTTACCGGGGGTGTGGCGACTCAGGGTTGCTCCGCCAGCAGAGGGGCGGTTTCCGAACACTCTGGGACCCGATGCTTCACTACTGTCACAAATATTTTTTTAAATATTTTTATATTTGCTTACAAACGCCAAGTGCAAAAGACCGCCGGAAATAGTAAGGTAGGTACCTACCTACGAGGCGGTGAACATCTAGATAAATCAAGAAACAAAACCGTTAAATCAAATAGAATCAAGAACAACAGCTGAAAGGAGCTATAGCTAACTGAACTATTCAATTCCGACTATAGTACAGTGACGACAAGGCGATATAGAATAAAACTCGAACTCAGGTACGACAAAAGCGAAAAAGTGCACTTTTAAAGGCATGCAGCTGCATAATTTATGAACATGAATAAAAGGTTACCTGTTAAGGATATTGAATATGAACGGTTTCACAGCCGACAGATAGATATAATGCATCCCTCATTTTCTAAAGGCAGGAAAGAGCAGAATACACTAAAACAAGGTAACCTGAGAAAGGTTACCAAAAAACATCTTTGTAATTTACATGTTATAGAAATATGTGCTGTTTCTTAGAGAAGTTGAAAATGATTACTCACGTATCAAACAGCCCCACCTTTCGGTAGGTATTTGAAGTTTCGCACTCCTATTTCTTGGTGTTCGAAAACTATCACAATATTCGTCAGAGGGAGGGCGAAAAACACGTGGAGGTTAAAAAATAAAGCATGAATTTGAGAGGAGCATTGAGTTTTTATTTGTCAGATGTGAGGTGAGTATTTCTTTAAAAGTCAGGCACTTTTATCACACGACAAGCAGACAGAATTCGGCAGACGCCGCGCGCAGCGTTATCACCGCCACTGTCTGGCTCTTCTTGCCATTGCGGCCCCCGCCCTCTGCCTCAGTCCTCCGGCCCTCTGCCTCCGTCCTCCGCCCTCTGCCTCCGTCCTCCGGCCCTCTGCCTCCGTCCTCCGGCCCTCTGCCTCCGTCCTCCGCCCTCTGCCTCCGCCTCCCATCCTCTGCCGGCGGCTAGCGCGGCTACTTCCCCGGGCGGCAGAAGAAGCCGAAGCACGGCCGCCGGCCGCCGCCGGAGCTCTGGTTCGAGTTGGCGTTGGTGTTGCTCTGCTGGAAGTTGCCGAACGGCGTCTGTGCGTTCACGTTGGAGGCAGAGGCAGAGTTGGTAGAGCTGGCGCCGGGCCCGCGGACCGAGCCCTGGAACCAGGAATTGAAGCCACGTCACATACCTAAGTACAAGTCTCGCGGGTTTTGGCGGTATGTTTTGCACCTAAAAAAATTAGTGTACTTCAGCTGGCTATATCTTCGTCGTCTTAAGCTTTTAAGTTTTGAAGCTGCGATCGACTTGTTGGTTCACAAGCCGGCCCTGATCGTGTAAAATGGCTTCATCGTAGATCGATTAGTTTCTGAGATATAACCGGAAATGTAAAAGTGCAAAACCTACCGCTTAATCTCGCACGAGCCGTATACCTACCCGTGACCCACTACATTTTCCAAACATGCATGCTTACCTGTTCTACATGCTGCTATCCCTAGTCACGATGGTTCGTATTTGGGGCGGTGTGAGATGGGACTCATACCTTATTCCCCTATGTAACCGTTGGTACAAAATTATACATCAGCTCCTTTTAACGACGAAACACTGGGCATCTATTTTGTCCGTTTGAACCGTTACCGTTTCTTTCCTGAGAATAGGGGCTCCGCCACAGTTTCAGGATGGGGGATGCACAGTGCACACCCTTGTTTGCCTGCCTATCTGTGTGTCGGTCCGTCTGCCCCCCCCCCCCCCCCCGGTATGTAGTTACTCACGCCAGCCTCGGCGGAGACCTGTGTGACGGTACTGGTGCCGCCGGGACCGCTGCTCGTGCCACTGACCACGTTGCCGGCCGCCGAGCCGGTGGCCTGACCCGGCCGATTGAACTGGAACTGACCCGGCCGGAAGAACTGGGGGGCGGCAGCCGCGGCGGCCAGCAGACAGCACAGAACCAGAGCGGCCCTCATCTCTGCAACCACACACGGAACCGTCAGTAGCTGGAACCACACAGGGGAACCACACACGGCGGCTGGAACCACACGGGGAGCCGTTAGCAGCTGGAACCATACGGGAGGGGGGGGGGAGGTGTCAGCGGCATCTGGAACCACACGCTTACAGTAAGGGAAGGCAGCGTTTGGAAATCAAACATACCTACTCGTACATGTACGAGTATGCTACGAATGCTAACAAATGCAAATGCTAAAAGCCAGATGTCATCCGGCTATGCTAAATTATTTTACAGCAGCTTCTTGGTTAAGTTTCAATGAATTCGTGCGCATCTAATTTCCAAGTTTGTGCAGGTCCGCAGGAACAATGCCCTGTTGCCGCCCCTCCTACCCCCGCCAGGTCAGTACTCAGTAGCCGGGGCCCGATCGGCGGGTTCAAGGTCATCGCTACTGCACCAGAGGTCATGCTCATCACCCTCCGTGTCGCAGACAAACGTGAGCTGACTGCGGAACAGAGCTAATGTTTAGACTTCCTCCACCTCCCAAGGACTCAGCACGGACCCAGCACCCCTGCAGCCACCCTCCAGTCCGGAGTTTTTCCTGCCTGAACTAATGCTTCCGGCCCCAAGCAGATTAAAAAGTTGCGGAGCGAGCTCAATACCCTCGATGAACTGAGGGTTGTCGTGAGTCCTAGACGGTTTTGCCCGTATGATGGTCGGAGCCCCAGCTGAGACACTGTGTGCGGCACACCCGGCGACGGGCCGAGCGCTGCGGCGCAGAGAGGGGAGGTCACTTCGGGCCCCTCAGCTGTAGATAAACGAGTCGTCAAAACTGACTTCCGTTTATGTAATGTCAAATGTCCAAAAATTATCGATCTAACGGTGTGCTGTTTATGTGTTAAAATTCGTAGCCGTTTTCACGACGGGCTATCCGGCGAATGCACCTGATTTGACCAAATATGGTGATGAATTTAATTATTTGATCATGGCAAAACCGACCATTCAATACCTCATGATTTGACCAAATCTGCACCTAATTTCGTTTACAGCAAATATCTTCATTTTATGAATTTATTTCAGTGTTTTAACCCGCGCACCGACGGGGGTCTGCGCCAACTTCGCACCGACGGGGGGGGGGGGGTGGATGACCGCCCCCCCCCTGAGATCTCGAGAACGAAGCAAGATAGCGACAAGCGGTAAACGGCATCGGATACGCACGGTCAAGATCTACAATTTTTACTCAGGTCATTTTCAGGTCAGGTCAAAGATGACGTCACAGGGGTCGAAAAAGTCAAAATGGCGGCGCTAGATATTGAGAGAGTTTTTCTCGAATAACTTTCGAACTAGTCAAAATAGGAATAAACTAAGGGCATCATCGTGATCCTCTCGTCAATCCGCATCGAATGATATATATGTTGACCTCGAAAGATCAAGGTCAAAGGTTGACCTCAGGTCACGTGACCTCGAGGTCATCATGTATATCATTCGATGCGTCTTGCCGGGCTGAACACAATGAGACCATCCACGCGGCTGTATCTTGTTCCTGTACGGAGTTATTGGCCAAAAACCTTTGGTGACCTTTGATGACGTCACATGACCTCACAGCTGCCCAACAGGAAAACAGACCTCAAGGTAGTGAAGGTTGATCGTATATAAAGTCATGTATTGTATATGGGGCCATTCCGACCCGTTTTAGTGGTAAAAATAGGGAGTTGATTTTTCCCCCATTGACTTATAATGGGGAGGTCGCGAAATTGACCTGACCTTAGGTCACCGATATCAAAATTCCGAGATACACAAATTGTAGCTACTAATGACCTAATAACACCCTGCGACTTTCAAAGGTCTCCGACATCTACTGTAGCTCTGGCACGGTGACAAAGTTGCAAAAAAGTGACTTGAGGTTGGGTCATTCAAAGTGACCTGGTGACCTGACCTTAAAAGGTAGGATGTTCAAACTTGCACAGCATGTGTAAAATTGATGAGGAAGTAGTCATACCAAATTTCGCGGCGCTACGCGCCGCGGTTTTTCCGCTATTTGCGAAAAACCTCAGGGGGGGGGCGGATATCCGCCCCCCCCGTCGGTGCGCGGGTTAATCGATGATGCCCTCTAATAATATGACAAAGCAGGCATATAAGCAATTAGTGCAACCCTAGCTGATAGCTGCTAAGAGACACACTGAACCTGATTTGACCAAATCTGCACCTAATCTGATCTACATTTGTGAAATTTTTACTACAATGCGTATAAGTTGGCCATTTTTGAAGATATTCGGCTTAAACGTTCCAGAGTAGGTCATCAATGGGTGGCCTATTACATATATTCCGTTTTTTTTCGACAAGTCAAATAGAAAATCTTTTTTTTTGCAAAGTTATGAAAATATATTTTTCTTGAAATTTTCAGAATATAGAAATTCCGAGATTGCAGTATGATAGCCACGTTTATTCAAAGTCCACTTATGCAAAGACTGGATCTAGCTAAAAAAAAAAAAACTGAGCTCTTGAGAGCAATTGCTGTAGTTCAATGTTTTGCATAAAAATCGGCCGACATTACGTCACTCTGACGTAATTTTCGGCCGGCCTGCGGTAGCTAGAAAGTTGAAATTTGAGCAAAAGGTGTCAAATTGATGCTGCGAAAGGTACCGCAAGTTTCGTGTTTATACGTTGAACGATTCGGAAGATATTGCCGAAAAATGGGAGGGGTTCTGTAGAGCCCCCCAGTCTTGCGCGGGTTAAGTTGCCCAGTCGTGAAAATCAATGTTTTAACCCGGCAGTTGCTGGGGTATTTCGCCACCCACCGTTTGCTGGGGGGGGGCGTTAAACGCCCCCAGCCGATAACTCGAGAACCAATAGGCGCAGCGAAACGCACGAGGCGGCAAACGAAAGAGCGCGACGAGACGCTTCAGATGAGTACTTTAAAGTTGAATTTTGAGGTCACAGGTCGGGTCAAGGTCAGGTCAAACACCTGAAATCGGGCTTTCAGTAGCATGGACTTCAGGACTTCGCAATGGGCGCCTCTCGCCATAAACTCTGTCAAAACGGTGCACAATCCATCTTATAAGGCCTACAAGAGTGTCAGCTCCATGTAGGGGTCAGTCAAGCATAGGTCAGGGTCAAGGTCAGGTCAACCGGGTAGGCACATATCCCCGAAAATCAAAACTGATATTCGCAGCCTGTGACACATGTTTTATAGGTAATTTGGGGCGTAGAACACGATGGTGACATTCATTTTATCATATGTGTACGTGTTTGGCTCAAAAAGTTCAATTTAAGAAATTCATGTATCATGGTCGTGAACTAGTCACGAAAAATTGCCAAGATTCAGTTCAAGATTATGGAAAATGCGGAACGCTAATCAATAATCGAAGATAGCCATTTGATTGACCATGGTATTGGCAGTCTAATGGCGTTTACGGCATGTCTGTATGTCTATTCTGTGATTTTATATGATTTTTTGAACATATGCCGTTTTTGGTCGAAAACTCAGAAATCATGACGTCACTAAAACCTCGATATCTCAAAAATTTTCTGACCGATTTTTTTGAAACTTTGTCACAATAAACTTCAATCGATTCCCTACAGGTACCCAAAATTTGGCGCGCCTGCGGCGCGCCGTTTTTATGCTATGGCCCGGCGAAAAAAGTGGGGGCGTTTAACGCCCCCCCCCAGCAACTCGCGGGTTAAACACTACATATATCACGGTCACGCTTTCAGATGAACATCAAATCCGAGTGCCATATGACGACTGTTCATACCTGCTGAGAGTGTGAGTTGATGAGCTGAAGTTGAGGAGCTGAAGGAGCTGAACCAGGGCCGGCGGATGCGGCACTGGGAGAGTGCAGAGGCGGCACTGCAGCGGTCGGAGGCGGCACTAAAATGGCCCGCGAATCACGCACCGCTCTTATAGAGGCCGAGGTGGCGCTCCTCTCGACACGTAGGTAGAGGCCCACGCGCCGCCGGCGGACCGTCCGCGCCGCGCTGTATAATCCCGCCTGGGTGCTCAGAAGTGGGCCCCTCGCTGGCCTACACTGCAGGGGAGAGGAGGGAGGGATTCTGCCCGGGGAGCGGGAGGGGAGGAGCAAGGGCTGTACCGGCTCCGCGGGACCTTGAGAGGCACGGAGTTACGCATTTCCTGCGGCTGCGGTGCTTCCAGAACGTGCCGGCGGAGCGGCTGGTCTGAGCTGCCCATCTCGAACTGTTGTGACCGGGAGACGCGCGGGATAAATTCAATTTCTGGGTCCACTTTTTGTTAGTTGATTAGACATGCCAGCTGCTGATTCACCCGGACCGCATTGAAGGCCATGACCATGCGGCATGTATGCGGCACTTGGTAGTCTTGACGTCTGATGTTTGTACCACTTTCTGAACATTTGCCTACCTTGTCAACTTTGTCATCAGTCAGGGTGCCTCTCGTGTCAGGGAATAACTCCTCTGACAAAATGATAGCCCCACGTGTTGGCAGGACCATCTACATATCTACATTGGGCCTGCTCGCATAAGCAAAGCGACATCCCATGCCCCTTGTTTGGCAACCAGGAAACAGCTGGCCCCGCTCTGCTTCTTCGCTGCTGTCGCTCTGCATTTTGACCCTCGCCGGCATAGGGCGGGGGGAAGGTTGATGCAACCCCCATAAGTTTTTCACGAATAACTCGCGTTAAAAGCGGCCAATCGCGACCAAACTTTCAGTACCCTCGCACTGATCTATTTGACACCTACCATTAAAATTTCATGACCCTGACCCAAATGACCTTTGACCTGTGATGTGACCTACTTTCCGATACCATGTTTGGCCGGAATCGCGATTCGGCGCAAGTCGGCTCGCATTAGCCGCGCGTTTGCAAGCTTTTCGTGGTTTCAAACGTTCAAACATGTGATTTGATGCTGCTCCCATGCATTATAGTGGGGGTTGAGGTAACCTGAGGTCAGGTCAGGTCATTGACCTTTGGTGACCTCGGTTCACTTGTTCGAGCTTTACATGTTTCTAGGCTAGTTTTTGAAGCTAATTTCGAATTTAGCAACCGTTTGAGCATTTACGAAGACGTTTTGGTGCCTTCGTAACATGTTACGAAGCTGTCAGCGGTTGACACGTACTACGAATACCCGTCACGACCCCTACTACACCTTTTTGCACTCAAAATAGGCATCTTTTCATTCAATTTCGGCGAATTGCATTCAATTTTAGCGATCTCTCTATTCGAAGCAAATGAGAGATCGCTAAAATTGAATGCAATTCGCCGAAATTGAATGAAAAGATGCCTATTTTGAGTGCAAAAAGGTGTAGTTGACCCGACCTGACCTGACCCGACCTGGTCTAAATGCTTAAAGACATCATCTGTAATCAAAACTAACACGATATTCGTGATCAGCACCCCGCAAAACCTCCATAGCAGTCACACTTTACGACTTTCTAACAGGCAGACTTGTGATCAGCTCAGTTGAGCCGGCTCAAAAATCAGCTCAGCTCATGAGCCGGCTCAACATTTTGCCAAATTGTTGAGCTGTGAGCTGAGCCGGCTCAGTAATGCATTGAGCTGAGCTGCTGTCTGAGCTGAGCTGAATGAGCTTGAGCTGAGCTGAGCTGAATGAGCTTGAGCTGAGCTGAGCTGAGCTGAGCTGAGCGAGCTGAGCTGAGCTGAGCTGAGCTGAGCTGAGCTGATTGAGCTGAGCTGAGCTGATTGAGCTGAGCTGAGCTGATTGAGCTGAGCTGAGCTGATTGAGCTGAGCTGAGCTGAGCTGAGCTGAGCTGATTGAGCTGAGCTGATTTAGCTGAGCTGAGCTGATCCAGTTCTAATTCTTTTCAGTTCATGCTTGGAAATTAACTCAGGATTTGATGCTTCAGCTATGAGCTAGCTATGGAGTGAGCAATTACACTGCCTTCGTGATCGCACTTAAAAATATCAAAACTCTAAAGAAATCAATATTAATCACTAATCAAGCTTAATTTATTTCATCCATATTGCATGGAAATTGGAAGACCAGGGTCTTGGCCAATTTACAGGCTAATACAGCCAGTCTCAAGTTTCAAGCCTGACTGCAAGATGAATACCTACTGTCAGGCTTTGATGCTTCGCCTTGACACTCTGCTCCGCAATGTACAATTCAGCATTCTTCACTTTGTTATTTAAGCAGTCATTTAAATTAATTTTATCGATAAGGGTTCTTACCTCTGCATAAAATATTTACAATTAGGAATTAGCAAATAATGTTCCTCTTCGTTGGTTGAATGTGGGCTAAGCGACCATATCCTATTGAAAGTGGGGTGGGGCAGAGGCGCTAACTGGAACTCTCACCTTCTGATGTCCATAATATGGGAAAAGCTCCCTTATTCACACGCCGACTATGAATTCTAATTGTGTTGACATTGCCTTGGTTGAGATCAGGGTGGTGTTTGGTTTCACTCAAGGTTTCACTGATAACAGCACGCTGCTATCACACGTGCCAAATGGGGTTTCCATGGAGATATAAACAAACTCTTATCTCCAAGTTCCAACACTACCCCAAAATGTAACGTCAGCTCCTGGCAGGGTGCCAAGAGCGGATGGCGGCGTGGGCGTGCTGCTCTCGGCCGTGAAACACCGCCTAGTTGAGATGATTCCATGGCGTTTTTTTCGTCTAGCAGATTTTCGTCCGACTTTTCTTCGTCTGGCATTTTTTCGTCTGTACATTTTTTTCGTCTGTAAACTTTTTCGTCCAGACTTTTTTCGTTCGTATATTTTGAACTTATATGTTATGTTAACATCGCGGGTGCACACTCTGATAACATGTGATAACACTGCCAAGAACAGTCCATTTCATGTAACTATAGTCTGAGTCCAAGTAGACGCACGACTCGCAAAGTCTCAGGGTCTTAATGAGCTTATCTCTTTTGCCCATTGTGTAGGTTGCCTCGCTCCTTGTTAGAGGAGACTTACTTATGCGCCAAGAGTTGGTCTGTTTTTTAACCCTCGCCCGTATTGGTGTTTTTCCAGACGCGAACGTATAAGGGGGCGGGGGTCCGTTGGACCCCCCCCCCCTTGCCGTTTCGTCCCTGATCGAGCTAGAGCTTCGCGGAAAAAAACGAGCGTGCTGCCCGCGACGAGAGGAAGCCGATGATACCCAATTTTAAGGTCCTAGGTTATCGGTTGACCTTCCAGGTCAGGTCAATGACCCAAAAGTCGGGAAAATCGGGACCTGTTAGAACGTCGTAAAACGTGGCTGCTATGGGTTTTTTCGGGGTGCTGATCACGAATATCATGTTAGTTATGATCACTGATGATGTCTTTATGCATTGAGGCCAGGTCGGGTCAGGTCAGGTCAACCAGTAAGGATTTTGCCGGGTATTCGTAGTAGCCTCTGACAGCTTCGTAACATGTTACGAAGGCACCAAAAATGCTTCGTAAATGTTCAAATGGTTGCTAAATTCGAATTCAGCTCCAAAAACTAGCCTAGAAACATGTAAAACTCGAAAAAGTGAACCGAGGTCATCAAAGGTCAATGACCTGACCTGACCTTCCGGTGACCTTGACACCCACCCTAATGCATGGGAGCAACATCATATCCCATGTTTGAACACTTGAAACCACAAAAAGACTGCTAACGCGCGGCTAATGCGAGCCGACGTACGCCGAATCGCGATTCCGGCCAAACATGGTCTCGAAAAGTAGGTCACACGTCAAAGGTCATTAGGGTCAGGGTCATGAAATTTTCAGGATAGGTGTAAAATTGATTATCGCGAGGGTACTGAAAGTTTCGTCGCGATCGGCCGCTTTTTACGCGAGTTATTCGCGAAAAACAGAGGGGGTCCGTTCGACCCCCCCCCTATACGGGCGAGGGTTAAGCATGTCCGATTTAAAAAGAACGACTGAACGATCTAAGCGTGAATTTAACTGAGCGGAAACTGAGCTAAGCTGAATTGAGCGGAAACTGAGCTGAGCTGAACGGGAACTGAGCTGAGCTGAGCTGAGCGGAAACTGAGCTGAGCTGAGCGGAAACTGAGCTGAGCGGAAACTGAGCTGAGCTGAGCTGAGCGGAAACTGAGCTGAGCTGAGCTGAGCGGAAGCTGAGCTGAGCTGAGCTGAGCGGAAACTGAGCTGAGCTGAGCTGAGCGTGAGCGGAGCACAGCCGGTTTGAGCGGAGCGTGAGCTGAGCTGAGCCGTGTTAAACTGAGCGGGAGCTGAGCGGGAGCGGATAAAACGGAGTTGAGCTGAGCGAGCTCACTTTTTTCTTGAGCTGTCACAAGTCTGCTAACAGGTCCCGATTTTCCCAACTTTTGGGTCATTGACCTAACCTGGAAGGTCAACCGGTGAACTAGGACCTTAACCCGCGCCGGGCCGGGGGGGGGTTGAACACCCCCCCCCCCTTCGGTTGTTCGCAGTTATCTAAAAAACGGCGGCGCGTTGTGCATCTTTTCCACACATGTTGCGAAAATTTCAGACCTAGGTCGCTCAAGGTCAGGTCACCAGGTCCCGCCAAGTGACCTCACCTCAGAAAAAATTAGAATGCTCGTTATAGCTACACCGACTGAACGATTGCATTGAAACTTTCAGCGATTGATCTATAAAACAGTATCTATAAAACATATACCTATCTCAGAATTTTGATATCGGTGACCTAGGGTCAGGTCAATTTTGCGGCCTCTTCATTAATATAATTAGTCAATGGGAGAAAATTGAAAAGCGTCTCTTTTGAACGAACGCCATTCTAGACACTCTTAACCCGCGCCCCAGTGCACAGTGGGCGATCCGGCCGGTGTAGCCTCGCGAAACCTATCGGCATTCATAACATCCATGTTTTTGAAGCTAGAACCACAATATTTAGGAGCTACCTTCTTGAATATCCAATGAGCATATGTTTTAAATAAGGACTTTTTCTGATTGGATTTGTGCTCTGTGGCGAGCTTACAATTTGCCTAATTGCTG